CCAAAGTGAACGAAATGGTATGTCATTTAGGAGGTCAATTTTATTTGGGAAAAAAAAATTGAGAAACTATTAAGTGATTAGTAATTTAAAACATTTAAAAAATAACATGGGTATTCTATGGAATAAAATTCAAAGTTAAACATCTTAAGTAAAAAGCACAAGACTTCAAATAAATTTTAGTTTTGCAGCAGACAGCTCCAAAATATTCTGCCAGCTTCCGTTTCACCACCCTTCTGCCCCAAATTCCAGAGTGCTCGCCCTTCATGGCTGTAGGGAATATTCTGATGAAAAGTTGAGAAGGATTAATTTAATCTATCCTCTTACTGCTGCTTTGTAAAGGTAACCACTCAAGGAAAGACAAGCTGAGAGGATATATTCTAGGTGCTGCCAGCTCCTCTACTAAGTGATGTGGCAGTGACGTCAAATCGTGTTGACTCTGAACCCATACATCTGCCTTGCTAACTTCTCATGCTCATTTCTGAATGCCTGGTCCTCATTTGTGGATTCTGTTTGAGGTGGCATCTATTCTTTTTGGCTGCCAATCATCCAATCCATCCTTTCTTCTGCTGATAATAGCTCCTGTTTTTTCTCCACCCTTCTCCTACTTGGTCTGTGAGTCTTGGCTGTGACTAGTCCTGACCCCTGGATTCAGGGTAGCCATGTGACTGTAGTCTGACCGTAAACTTATGCCTTTCTTTGTGGCTCTTGTGGTGCTTTCTTTCCCCTGAACTTGAACCTGTGAGGATATAAGCCTGGAGCTGCCCGATGCTTCTGTCAGTGAATGAAGCTATATAGAGACTCATAAATTATGTCCTTTATTTGTTTTGTTTTGCCTTAAGTTGTAGAGTTGAGTTTTCTTTTATTTGTATCACTCTGCATCTGTATTTACTCTTGCCTTTTCTACCCTAATCAGTTACAAGAACTACCTACCTGTCCTTATTGCAAAGATTAATATTTACTTCTTCATGCTTCATGCATTTGTTTATTCACTCATTTATACTTATAAAGTTTATAGAATACCTACTGTGGCAGAGCTGGTAATTGTATACTCATTCATTTCCACTTTTTTTTTTTTTGCCAATTGAACTGCAAGTTTATTCACAGCAATGATGTGCCACGTGAGGCCATGGGTCATGATTGATCTAACGTTTTAACTTAATCATGGGAATCCTGTTCTAGGTGAATCACACCAATCCCATCCTCTCCTTTCCCAGCCTTCCTTCTAGCTAGTGGTGGCCATGTGGCCCAGTTCTGGCAAATGACACCTCTTAGTGGAAGTTTGCTGGGAGAATTCTGAAAAAATTTGGTATACTGATTAAACAGCATATGCACAATTTGTACAACTACCTTCCTCCTCCTTCCTGTGACTGCGATGTGCAGAGCTGCAACCACTATCTTACAACCATGATGCCCCCCAGGTATGAGAGAGAGGCCAAGAGAGTCACAGAGAAGCCAGCCTTGACATTGTTGAGCTAATGAAACCCCACCAGTAGCCACTTCCTTCAAGACTTTTTATATGATAATTACAAACCTCTATTTGTTTAAGCCTGTGTTAGCTTTCTGTTACTTTTAGTGGACAGCGTTCCTAAAAGGCACACCCAGAAATAAACAGCAATGGGCTAAATGCTGGAAATAGATAAATGATAAAGATATGCCATTTCAAGAAGTTTAGCACAGAACTATTCAGTTAGTACAGTGTGATGATGTAATTGCTACAGAGTATAGACGAGGCCCCAAAGGTGCCCAACAGAAGGCATGCTTGAAAGACATAAGCCTTGAGCTGACCCTTACATGGAAATGAGGGTTTCCTAAGTGGACCTTGGCATGAGGTTGGGGACTAGAGCAGTCCATGGAAGCTGGAACAACACGTACACAGGGCTGGCTTGGTAGCTATAAACAGTTGTAAGTGATAAAATATGAGGGAGAAACCAGTAGCAGGAGACAACTCTATACAGGCATACAGGGGCCAGATCTTAAGGATCCTTTTTTTCCATGCTAAGGAATTTAGAATTAATCCTGTATGTCAGTGAATCAGCACCTGTATGAGCCACCCATGGGCTTTAATAACAGTTTCTCAGACCCTAGCCCAGACCCACTGCTTTGGAATCTATGTGTTAAATCCCAGGAATCTGTATTTTTGAGAAGTTTTGCAAGTGATATTGGTCAAGAATTAATCATACAGATGATAAGATAGTGAAAACTTTTGGTCAGGGGAATGACAAAATCAGATCTGTCTTTTAGAAAGATCCAGTTGTGTGCCTATCACATTTAATGCACAGAATACATCATTTTTAAACAACTGCCTCCTCTATATGACAACATTAATTTTAGTAATATTTTTCTGATTATTTTTTAAAAATTGAAAAATAAGAATAAATTTTAATTTTAAAGATATTATTCAAATTCAATAAAATAGTTTCTGTATGAGCTTCAAATTTACACCTCAGTGTCTGTACTCTTTTCACTGTTTGAAACATTAAACACAAATTCAAACTCCAAGTGGTCAGTTAGAATGACTAACAGAAGTAACTCGAGTTCTGTTTATTCATCTTGAAATCCCTATACTGTCATTGTTTGTTGTGAATCTCCTTTAGCAGTCCTTGTGTTGTACAGTTCTGATGGACAAGAGTTTCAGTTATCACAGTTTAGTTGAATAGCACCAGTCCTGCAACAACAAGGTTTCACATTTCAATGACCAGTTCAGTTTATTAACTGTGAGTAATTGCATGAAATACACTTTACAGCCAGCTCTTCAGCTCACAAATCACTACATAAATAAAAATGCACATCATGATTGGTGACCAATCGTGACACTTCTTTAAGAATCTGTTAGTGACTGATCACCAAGCATCTGTTATGCAGTACATGCGCAGATAGTACAGTGTGTAGTTGTGTTGCATCCTTGTTGTCCAGTGATAGTCCACAAGATATTTTTATAAAAATGCATAGTCAAAACGGTATATTGGTCAACAAAGATGAAAGTGTAACAAAGGAACAAAAATGATAATGCTAGAAATGAAACTGACATCAAACACGAATGGAGTTTTAGAAGAAATAGCTGACCCTGGGAATGCTGACACAACCATCATTTGAGACTTAGATATGCAGCCAGAGGAACTTGGTGAAGGTGAATTTATGGACATAAATTTGGCAAGTGGGTGTGACAAAAAATATAAAGATGTTCCTGAGGAAGTGATACTAGGGACTTCACATGAAGGGGACGCTTGGAGATATTTCATGATGTTGAAAATGCAAAGGATGAAATTTTGGAACCTGATTCAAACTTCAAAATAGGATAACAATTTGTCAAGGGATAGAAAGAAAAAGCTCATTCCAAAAATAAGTTATGGGAGAAGAAGAAAGAAAACACCATTCAAACTGCTCTTGGTAAGTTTTTTTAGACAAAGAAATAAAACACTAATTCACAATGTTTCCAATGTTTTAAATTACAGTGTACTAAACAAATATCAATTTTACTCTTTTTCATTTCTCTATTCATTTAGAACTGAGAGTAAGAGAGCTTTTAATGTCTCAACTAAAAAGTTTAGAAGTCACAGAAGAATCTTACTTCCACCTTTTGATGATAAAGATCTTTTTGCATGGTTTCTGCTTACATGACAATTTTTGCAGTTCCACAGTGCTGTGCAAACCAAGGACTGCCTGTATTTAAAAGTGGGAATGTATGACACTTAAGAGGCTAGACATAAAAACTGCTCTTGAAAGGAGTTTGAAAAATACTTGAATTGTTACAAGCTTATGAGGGAAACACATTTTAAGGTGTTGACTGTACAACTGGAAATTCTCTGATTACTTTCTCTGTAAAAAATGTTTATGAAAGTAAAATGTCTACTAAATACACAATTTAAAATGTGCTAATTTGAAGCTGATGTATATAATGTTAAAACTCATTAGTAATCACAATTGTTTAGAACTTAGGCCAAGAAAATATTTTGGGGGGAGTAGTAACGTATCATTGATGTTGTTTAGACTCACATACCCATGGATATGATAAAAGGCAGACTGACTTTTAGTTTTATTATTGTGTTAAATTCCCTTTGTATTTGCCCACCTTATGGCTTGCACTGGGGTGAACTGCTCCCACTGTCCTGCCATCGGTACGCCACTGGAAACATCACTGGAGAAGCACTATGGTGGAGGATGACACGAAGGCAGTGAGACAGAAGCCGGATATGTACATAGAAATGGCAGAGAGATTGATTAGGAGATAAGCTGAGGCAGTCACAGTGGAAATGAACCTATTTTAGGCTATTGGTCTTTGTCATGATGACCAAGTTTAATTCCTGCCTGAGATGACCACTACCTCTTACAATTTCTGCAACAATCTATCTCTTTCAGACCCATCCTTCTGTAGCTGGCACTGCTGATTATTCTAAATCTCCCCTGAACTTAGCTGTGAACCTGCTGAATGTCCTTTACCCTATCACTGACCTCTAGCTCTCCCCTACCCACATTTGACCCTCAAGGAGATTTGGCCGTGTCCTCAGTTGGATCTGACAGTCTAAAATCACAGCCTATTATTCTTACAAATTGTAAGTGAAAGAGATTCTAGATTCCCTTGTATTTAGCTTCTTTCAGAATCTACTAATTTTGGAAGCACAGGTTTTGCCCCCATCTCTGTCCTAAGATGTCTTTTTTTCTGGAGACAAGTACTCTTATTTTTCTTTCACTTCATCATTCTGAAACCAGCCCAATTGTCCCATAGAACTGAGGTTTATGGCTTCTTTTGAGTAAACATAGAAATTGATTCTCCCAGTCTTAAAACTTGAGAAAGTTTCATTTGTCTTATCTGAGTTCCTTTCTCAGGGAATCAACCATCAGTCCTCCCAGATTATAATAAGGAACTGAAACTTACCAGATCATCACATCTGGACAATAGGATGCCAGACCCCTCACTCAGCATGACTGCCTAATGGGCCACTTGCTTCCTGTTGACCAACTCCTCTTCCTTACCCCTTCCTAATTTCTGTTTTCCCACACAGGGTTACACTTATTTCCTGCATAAAAACCCCCAATTTTAATCAGTCATGGAGATGGATTTGAGACTGATCTCCCATCTCTTCAGCTGCAGCACCTGATTAAAGCCTTCTTCCCTGAAAATACTTGTTGGCTCAGTGATTGGCTTTCTGTCTGATGAAGAGCAGGACCTAGACAGGACCACTCGTGTTTTGGTAACAATTCTACAACAACCTTTTCTGAATTTGATTCTTTCATCACACTGAAGACACATGTATGTTAATTGTATATTTCAACATCGTGGTTAAAGCATGACAACAATAAACAATAAAAATCCAGAATTATACTGGTATAATTAGGCCAGAAATTATAAATTAATTGCCTTTAGTACAAATTAATATCACAGATATATTTCATTTGGCCCATGCAGTGTTTTACATTTTTTTGAAACAATGCTAATATTTCAAAACCTTCATGACAAAAATCAGGCTTTTCTTCTTTTTCTTAAAAAATACCCATTACATTTCCACAAGCTAGCAGTCAATTGGTGCTAATGGTCACCACTACTTTTAAACAGGGTCTGTCTAAACTTGATTCCTATTTTCCTTGATTCCTGTTTTGTGTTATCTGCTTAAACCTGGTAGACACTTGAGTTTGTAACTCATTATTTCAAATTTAGAGACTTAATTCTTATCAAGAGCAACATTAGCCAAAACTATTTTCTTCAGAATAAATAACCAGACTCTTGACTGTCTGCTTCTCCAAAGATCAGCTAATAAATTTAGATTTGATCAACACGTTTATCTTGTGGTCTTTTCAGATCTCAGCACCCGTATATAAGAACAGAGTCAGTTTTGCTTGGCTTTGGAGGAGAATTTGAATGAAAATGCAGAAGGACATGTCTCTTCCCAATTATGTGAGTAGAAATAAGTATTTGAAGAGTATGTTTTAATTTCCTAAACAGTCAACTATAGTTAGATGTTGCCACAGCCTTCACTAGTCCAGTCTATGATGGTGTAGTATCTGGCAGTTGATCTACAATTGTTTATGTGTTCTTCCTGAAGTCTTCTCCAGCTTGACTTCTCATCTGTACTGGACATCCAATAATTTAAACCACTCATACATATTCTTTGCAAATTAAAAAAAAAGTCTGCGTAGTCATAAGTTGGCAAAACTTATTACATAGTCAGCTTACCTAACCAAACAGACTGCTAACCTTCTTCCTCTGAAATAGCTAACATTTGGGTTATTTCACTGCACTTAGGTCTTCCGCAAAAATGAAAAATATGTACTTGTATTATATTTGCATAACTAAGATGTCTATTGTATTGATTTTCCCAGAGCAAAACAACTTTTAATTCAAAGTTTCTTATTTTAGGAAGCATACTGAAACTTGCTCTCACATGAACAAAATTAAATAAAATTTTCTTTTAGAATAGTTTTGGTTTACAGAAAAGTTGCAAAGATAGTACAGAGAGTTTACATGTACTCCTCATCCAGTTTTCCCTGTTCTGAACGGTATATTTGTCACAACTAAGGAACCAGCATTTGTGAGTATGATGAATGTCCCACTTTATTTGAATTTAACTGTTTTTTTCCTAACAGACTTTTCTTTTCCAGGATCCAGTCCTTTTTTCTCTCTTCCAGGATCTCATTACATAGACAACACATTACATGGAAAACACATTACATTTAGTTATTATGTCTCTTTAGACTTTGCTTGGCTGTGATAAGTTTCTTAGATTAAAAAAAATTTTTTTGATGACTTTGATAATTTTGAGGAGTACTGGTTGGATATTTTGTGGAACTATCTAAATTTGGGTTTGTCTGATGTTTTCTTTTTACAATCAGTCTCGGATTATGAGATTTTAGAAATAATACCACAGAGATAAAGTGTCCTTCTTATCACATAACATCAAGTGTAGATGCTATCAACATGACTGGTCAATGATGATGTTAACCCTGACCACCTGTCAAGGTAGTATTTGCCAAGTTTCTCTACTGTAAATTTAGTCTCCCTACTCCCCAGTACTTGAAAGCAAGTTAGTAAGTGCAGCCCATATTCAAGGGATGGGAAGTTAAACTCTGCTTCCTTGAGGGGCAAGTATCTATGTAAATTATTTGGAATTTTTCTACATGGGAGATTTGTCTCTTCTCCCCCTTTGAATAATCTCAGGTTAATTCATGTATACCTTTGGCAGGTCCCCATCATTTTGTTTACTTAGCGCTTCCTTACTTTCTGGTACTACGTGGTGTTTCAGGGTCATTTGTATATTTTCTGTCTCAACCTTAGAGTCAGTCATTTCTCAAGGAGCCCCAGTTCCTTTCACTGGAGAATGGTGTTAGAAACCAAGATCTGGGCATTGGGTGTGCTCATTCATCCTGGGATGTTATTGCTTCTAGAAGGCCCTCTCAGAGGGCAGAGCTAGGAAATATATGTATGTATACTAACCCATGTGTTCACACATATACAAAATCATTTCTGTATTTATCTGTCTGTATATATTTTAAGTTAAACATGAATTCACACTGATGTATTTGACCCCAAGCCCATACCACATGTTTCATTCTGACTTCCAACTTATCTATAACCTCTCAGCAGAGAGAAACCTGGATCCCACTATCCACCATCAATTTACTCATTTGTTCAATCCCAGTATAAGATTTTCTTATCTCCCTAGTTTCTATTTATTATGGGTTCAAGTGAGATATTGGGGCTTAATCTCAGATAGGAAAACCCTTTTAGTTCTTTCAATGATGTAAACAGCAAAGCATAATTTGGCCACACTGCAAAATAAAACCCTCAGCATGTTTTCTTAATTCGTTGAAATAGATAAGTATGCATTAGCAGTTAACACATCTGTGAACACCTGGGATGCTATGAATGTTAATTAGGGATATCAGGTCTAGAGGATTTATGAAGGCAAGTGATTAAACAGGTAAATATAGATTTTAGTCATTCAATATTTCAGTACTACAAATTTTGTTTTTGTGTAAAACAGAAACCCCTTGGGAACTTTAGCTCTACTCATTACTTGTTTGCAAAAAAAGATTTTTATAAAAAGATATTTTGTAAATTTGCACAAATGAGATTTTATCCTTTGGGAGTAACAAAAACAAAGGTGAATGATACTGCAGTGAGATAGCATAAGTTTTGAGTATACTGAACTATTGCATTAAGAGTTGTTTGAATGCAGAAACAACTTAATGTCTTTCTGGAGTAAAATAAATTTCAGGTTTTTTGGAAAAATGCTAATGCAAACATATTATAAAAAGTTTTTTCTATCATTAGACAGAAGCACCTAAGATAATGACTGTGCTTCTGGGTAGGCCTAGAGTGCTTTTAGAAGAATTGATCATGTTCTCCATTGTAAGTTCTGCTCTGGGTGCTGTAACTATATCAGATGTGGGGGTGTGATGCTACCTTTAGTGCAGAGAGATAAAGGGATAACATTAACAAATGAAAGGAAACCATTGAAAAGAAGCCGAAGAACACCTCTAAAGTTTGCAGTAATGTAATGTATTGATACAATATGGTATATAAGATGGGACTATGATGCTAAGAAATAATTCCTTGAAACTTTCTTTAAAAATGTGGCTCATAGCCTTTTGCTGTAATTAGTGATCATTTTGTCTAAAGCAATAGCCAGCTAGACTGGTGAATGACATTGGGTAATTATAAATGGCAACATTAATTTTCTTTTTTTTTCTCATCACATATCTGTCTAGGTTTGTTTCTAGAGATTTTATTTTTATATTTAGTTTTTTTGGTCTTCAGGAAAGCTTTATTAGGATTTATTTTTTTCTTTTCTTTATTTCTTATTTCAATAGGTTTTGGGGGAACAGGTGGTGTGTAGTTACACAAATAAGTTGTTTAGTGGTGATTTCTGAGATTCTGGTGCACCCATCACCCAAGCAGTGTACACTGTACCCAGTGTGTAGTCTTTTATCCCTCACCTCCTCCCACCCTCTCCCCCGAGTCCCCAAAGTTTGTTGTATCGTTCTTATGCCTTGTGTCCTCATAGCTTAGCTCCCACTTATGAGTGAGAACACACAATGCTTGGTTTTCCATTTCTGTTACTTCATTTAGAATAATGGTCTGCAATTCCATCCAAATTGCTGGGAGTGCCATTACTTCATTCCTTTTTCTGGCTGAGTAGTAGTCCATGGTATATATACACCACATTTTCTTTATCCATTTGTTGATAGATGGGCATTTGGGCTGGTTCCATATTTTTGCAACTACAAATTGTGCTGCTATAAGCATATGTGTGCAAGTGTTAATATCTTTTTCATATAATAACTTCTTTTCCTCTGGATAGATCCCCAGTAGTGGAATTGCTGGATCAAATGGTAGATCGCTTTTAGTTCTTTAAGGAATCCCCACGCTATTTTCCATAGTGGTTGTACCAGTTTACATTCCCACCAACAGTGTAAAAGTGTTCCCTTTTCACCACATCCATGCCAACATCTATTATTTTTTTTTTTTTGATTATGACAATTCTTGAAGAATTAAGGTGATACTGCATTGTGGTTTTGATTTCCATTTCCCTGATCATTAGTGATGTTGAGCATTTTTTATATGTTTGTTGGCCATTTGTATATCTTTTTTTAGAATTGTCTATTCATGTCCTTAGTACAGTTTTTGATGGGATTGTTTTTTCTTGCTAATTTGTTTGAGTTCTTTGTAGATTCTGGATATTAGTCCTTTGTCAGATGTATAGATTGTGAAGATTTTCTCTCATTCTGTGGGTTGTCTGTTAACTCTGCTGATTATTTCTTTTGCTGTGCAGAAGCTTTTTAGTTTAAGTCCCATCTATTTATCTTTGCTTTTGTTGTAATAAATGGAAACATTATACTTTCAAGTTGGGTCTTGGTGGTATCTCCAGTTTGGGACTTTTTAATCCATTAGGTTGCCAACACCTCTTTCTGTTGGGTACATATTTACTGCCCATCTTTTGTCATCTCATAATAGTTAGGGTTGAAAGGGTATTTAGAAACCCAAACACTACTGGAGAAAGGCTTTGAGAAGGAAGCTACCTGGGTTAGGTTAAGTTAAATTAGATAAGAATACATGAAATGAGCAAAGAAGATATATGTGAGCTAACATGGAAATCTCTAACAGAGATATTGAAATTAAATAAAGAAAATTTCGGAAAAAAATGCTTACCTGGATTAAAGGGAGAGACTGGGGGATCATGTGGAGAAACTTAGCCTATTTTTTGTGGCATATTCCTACAACATTTGATATAGTTTTGAAACCTATTCCATATTTTATAATGAATGACTTGTGAAATAAACAGCCTTATCAGGCTACTTTGATTTGGATAATAACAAACTGACTGACCAGATGAAACTAGTGCAATAGTTTGAATTAGTACATTCTCAGACTGTGTGATTGTGTGCCCATTACTGATCTTACAGTCATCACTTTGGGAATCAAAAATGAATTACAGAAATTAAAATACTGATGTGCCTTTCTAGCTGTTAAAAACTGAATCTTTCAAAAGTATGGTTCATCTTTGTTACAATAAAATGGGTTTTAAAATATTTCTTATTGATGTGTCATGAATCTGTCAAATTTGATAAGTACAAAAATTGATTTTATTTCTTTATTCTCCATGGTGAAATTTTTCTTTTATTATTTCAAGCCAAGAAAATAATGTTTTATATTATACTAGTAAATACTTCCAAAATATGATGTTTACATAATGATTTACTTTTTATAAAGTATTTGCACAACTATTATTTCATCTGGAGTCTCCAAACAAGAGAAATGTTAAAATCTAAAACATTTGTTCTTAGAAATTCTGAAATGATAGGGTCCTTTTAAATGTTTTATTAACAATTTTTCTCTTCAGGCATTTTATCTTCTAACCCCAAAGTATGTTATATTCTTATAGTTTTATTTCTAGG